ATTTGAAAGTATGAAACAATTCACATAGGGATCTTTAGCAAAGGATAAGGGAGACTAAATGCATCTTTTCCCAACACACCAGGGCTAGGTACAGACAGTTAAAATGCCTAAGGCTGAAATGATTTAGTCTGTGCAGGTCAGCTTAAACTGCACAGATTAAATTGAAACAGAAGTGAACAGAGATTTACTGTTGATCCAGGGAATGCAGCCATATGCCTACAGTGGCTCAGGCCAGAAGCCGGGGGGGTGGGGGGGGGCGCTAGAGCACAGCTCTCTGGCTGTGAATTCACTTCCTCTTCCTGCTGCCCTTGAGGCCTCTGGGATTTGCAGTCCAGAATTACAGCAGCAGGACTCTGCAGGGTTGCTCATTACATCCTCTTCCTGCTTCCAGGTGCCTCTGGGATTTGCAATCCACAGTTGCAGCCAGCAGTAAGTTTGAGCAGGGGAAGTGGGAATTTAACCCCCCACCCTGGCTCCAGACCCCAGCCAGGGTTTGCTGGGGGGGAGTGCCCCCCATAGACTGGGCTGCCTCCCCAGCCAGGCTTGCCCCCCTCCACCTCCTTGTTAGTCAGCCTTCACTGCTCCAGCTAGGAAGCAGAGGGGCAGGGCCACCCCTGCTCTTTTGAGCAGACAGCCTATCCCAGGGCTAGAAAGCATTCTGGGATGCTGGGGATTATGATTTAGCTTGAACCAGGAAGGGGTCTGGGGCAGAAGTTTCATAAACCAGTTTGACCAAAATCAGTTAAGTCATATACATTTATCTTAAACCAGTTTCTACATTCTACTACATCTATCTTACACCAGTTTCAGACATTTTGAAACTGGCTTATATGCACTGACCTTATGTTTTGTTATGGGTTTAAACCAGTTTCTGATCACTTAAACTGGTTTATGTGCAACTTCTGTCCCTAGCCCAGTAGGTCATAGAGCAGCTATGCAGGTCCTCCACGGCTGCTCTCACATGAACAAATATGCTGTCCCAGGACACAGCCACATAATTGCAGACTCACTGGCTATGCCTCTCTAGCCACATTTCTGATGGCCAGAACTGTGCAAAAAGAAAATGGAGAGTTGCACACATGCAGTCCTCATATTTGCAATGCATATTTGTTTACAATGAACTGTGAAAAAATCAGTGTAAGTATAAAGTCCAGATCCCAGATTTGCATTCTCCATTCAGGGAACAGAAACACCAAAATGAAATCTATGGCTCTAACCAAAAATTAATGAACCAGCTGGTTTTCTAATTATCCAGTCTGCACAACAAGCTGCCTGTGGACATTTTGCATCTGCACAATTGTTTTCTAAATTAAAAATGTAAGCAGCAAATGAGCTTAAGACAGACCTAGAGTGCTTCTGGACAGTTCACAAAGTCTAAAGATGTTAGATTTAGTATTCATTATAAATTATTGACTCTGCTGCCCTTAGAGAAGCAGAAATTTAAATGCATACCAAGACAAAAGGACAAAACTCACGGTAGCAATTTCTTCAGAGAAAGTTTGAGGAAGAGAGGCTGAGGATCCCACTATTCCTACTGCCTCTACTGCATTTATTGCAAGGGTCAACATATGACATCAGTCTTCAGCATCTCAGTCCCAGCACCATTCATGAGCTTTAGACTAAATCAAGAACAAACATCTTTTTTTAAAGAAGTCTTTGGTAATGGTGCTGAGAGAAATAAAACAGTCCAAATAGTGCCCAGGTAGCACAAAGCAGGATGTTTCCTTAAAGGTTATTTGCATTTCAGTCTTTTTTTTTAATCAAGTCCCTGGGGAGCTGACATTACGAATAGAACCTGAAGGATAAAGATGATATAGAAGAGTTTTTAATTTTGATTTCTGCTGACTTAACTTTCCCTGTTTCCTTCCCTGAAGGTCTTTTGCTTGCACTCTGGTGCCTTTCAGAAAGGATGTCAATCACCCCAATAAAGTTCCAAGGAGGGAATATTTAAATGCAGACTAGCAGCAGACTAGCACTTCTAATGCCCAGATCTTTTGATGCTTTTGAACATTGAATTCTTTATAAATCAGTATAAGCATGAGCATGAGCAAAGGATCCTGCTGGATCCCACCTGATCCAAAATTCCAAGGCTACTGCACTGGATTCCTGGGCCACACAGACACTTTACAAGAGAGGGATGCTGGCTGAAGAGAGATGGAGAAATCAGGACAAGGTTAGTTCAGCGAGTGCAGTGTGATTGGGGAGGGTTATGGTATGGGGACTATCTGTTTGCCTATGAGGAAGAAAAGACTCGGTGACTGTCTGAAGAAGAAGGGAATGGACTTCTGAAATGTCTGAAAGGACACATTGGCATTAATGATGTTTGAGTTGGCACACAGGATATTAGAAAGCGGAACTGAAAGATGCAGCCCATTTCACATTTGGAGGGCAGCATATATACACCCTGTGTTGAACACACAAAGAATTATTGCCCAATGTATCCTGCCTCAGCACAGGGCGCTATACTGAATGATCCCTTGAGGTCCCTTCCAGCCATAAATTCCCATGATTCAATTATTCTGCTCTAATGGAGCGTCTATACCAATGCTTTGGGTGTTGTTCTCCTACATCTTTTGCTCCTCCCAATTGATCACATGATCAATATTATTGCCCTTAAAGAGTGCTGATCTAAGCAACATGCTGCAGGAAATATAGTTTATTCTTGGATACCCTCAGTTTTAACTTTTTACTTTCTGGTGACTGTGAGCAATTTTAGAGCAATGCATGGTCTGTGACCTATGATTTGGGGACTTTTAAGAAAGAACATGTCATGTTGTTCAGTTCTACTCACATTCATATAAGTAGGGTCCCTAAGAGAGATCAGCTTTCCACTGTACTAAATACTGTCCACACACACAAACACACACACAGAAAGAGGGAGTTCTCTATTCTAAAACTACTTTCAAAATATTTTCTCTAAGTTCCTATTCCTTATTGTAAAAAAAGATCTTAAGAAATAGAGGGTACAGATGCACAGAAGTGTATAAGGGTATAGAATGAAAGTTAGACACATCACTTGCCTGCAAAGTTAATACAAAGCTAAAATTCTCCCCTAGAGACACTCTCCTATTCTTCTTTTCATAAACCTATTTAGAAATAAACAGAACTAGGTCATCATAATAGGTAAGCGTATCACTTAAGTGTAGCATGTAAATATTTTTGTCACTGAAAATATATGCATAATAGGCTACAATGTAATAAAAAGTGACTAAAATTCATAGAAATGCTCACAAAAAATGCATAATGGACTTTTTTTCTGAAAAGACATTATTCACAGAATGTGGTAAAATGTAGTAAATTGGGCTTTGAGGAAAAATTGCAAGTCTTCAATAAAAAGACAAAATAGCAACACTCTTCACACGGCAGGGGATAAAATGAAAAAGAAAAAAAGTTCCCCTCAAAATAAACATATAAACAAAGAAAATACCTACTGAACTGCAGACATTTACTATACTTGTCCTTCAAAGCAACTGTTCTAAGACATACAAGTAACAGGTTCTTCACTTCATTCTTCTAGACATGAGAGTTAGAGCTTTAAAGTAGGCCCCTCAGGATGACTGGAAGGGAGATAGGGTAAGATGAACTAAGTCAACAAGAAAATCTTGACAAAATATTTTTTTGGAATATTCCAATAATCTTCACGGAAAACTGTGAGTCTATGTAAGCTTGACTTCTGAGTCATGTAATGCATTTCATTAAAGCAAGCAACTATGGAATCTGCAACTGATTCAGATTACACATATTTGAATAACTTCAGAGTAACTGTTTTAAAAGCAGTTAAATGACTGCCAGCAGGATTCATGGGCATAATTGTGCAGTGCAAATGATATTTGAAAACAGGGACCTAGGATTTTTTCAATAGTGCAATAATTGACCATTTTTTAGTTCCAGATCAAAGGGAGTTAGCACAGTAGAGGGAAGCAACTGGCTGGTGGACAGTTTGTAGGAACGGTCTTGGCGGGTTCAACCTGATTCCTTATGGACATGTGCCACAAAAACAACCATTCTGAACAGTACTACTTTGTACCTTTGGTAGTCTCACCAGGTTCGGCAGAGAGTTCAGCATTATGGAGAATGAAATACTATGTGGAATTTCTCCAGGTTGGGAGTCAGGAAGACTACCATAACTGATGTTGGCACTGGCTAAATAAGACACTTTAATCATCAGTAATAACACCTTTCACTGGCATGAAATTTACCTGGCAATAAATAATACAGGCTGCTTTAGTCAAATTTGCAGTCTCACAGTCATCCAGAGTCATACCTTCCCGATTCCAATATTATACATGCTAGCAATGAAAATGTTCTCCTGCAGGGTAGCTGGTAATATGGTCTGCAATGTCACAGCTCCATCACAAGGGCATGCATAAGGTGTCCTGCCCTTAAATACTATCTGGGAGTGAAATCTCTACTTGCCAAGAACAGCTGAGCAAGAGTGGAAAGCCATGTCTCACTGAGGTCTGACATTACCTTTTGGGGTCAAAATCTCTGCTCACTTCAGCTGGCAGATTAGGAACAGCAGCTAAGATTGTAACAGAAGGATATGAGGAGTCTGCTTAAGTCAAGGTGCTGAACTACTATATGCACAAGTTTTAAAGATCCTTGGGATATTTCTGGTCCTACTGAAAAATTGTGATGTACAGTAAGACTTTTTTGGCAACTGAAGAGAAATCAGTGGTTGGAGGCCTGAAGTCCTCTTAAGTAGCAAAGAGATGCTAAGATCCCTGCATTTAATCCACATATTGCAGCTCATATATTGCAAGTGCATATGAATGGGTTGCTGCAAAGAAAATAAACAGGGCTGTGGTATCAGTAATCTCTCCCCACGCTTAATTGTAGGATGAAAGTAAGAGAAGGCATTTGTAACATGCTGTGTTACAGGTGGCCTTTTGGTAGGAATATCTATTAATCAGCCACATTATCACTTGAGAAAGAGAGATTTGTGTGGGCTTGGGGGAGGGTAAGAAAAAGCAAAGAAAGTAAGAGAGGAAACAACTTACCTGACAGGTGCTCCACGGGAATGAGCAGGCTTCAGCATGACCGTGATGGTAGTGTCGGTTTCATTCAAGGGTGAGTCTGTATCATATTCAGGCATTGAGGGTGCTATGGCAGAACAGACAGCAATAGATAAGTTATCTACTAGTTACTGACTTTGGCTGAAATAGCAACAAAACTAATAATTCTTGGAGTCTGTTTAGCATCTCTCTGCTGAGATGTCAAGATACTTTAAAAATTGCACCTACGATGTTTTTAAAGAATTAAGGGACTTGGATGTTCATTTCCCTTAAAAATTAGTGGAAGCTGGACATCCAAATCGTCAGTGTGAATTCAAAAACAAAACAAAAACTACTGGCATATTAACGATCTAAGCCTCATTGACCCTATGACATTAGCACCAGTTTCTCCATTACACAAATAGAAAGCACAGCCACCTGGAGATTAAGTGATTTGGTTTAAAGTCATATAGGCTTCATACAAACTTTACAGCTAGAAGTTCAGGGGCTTAGATTGGGTTAAAAATGCCCCCCCACACCTCCCCCCAACTCAGTAATTAATTAGGTTCTGGGTACCTGATCTGAGGTACAATGGGAGAGGGGGGGGGGTCAGCAGTATGGGGAGGGTTAGTGACAGGCTGTTTTCAGCCAGCCCCCTCGCAGGACAAAACCTGCCCTCGGTGAACCAACCTCATGATCCTGCCTGCCCCTCCTCCACACCCTGACTTACTTCCATTGGCTCATGGCACTGGTGAATGCTGGTAAAACTGGCACCAGAAGTGGCTTGTGGGGTCAGGGGGTTTGGCGGCTTTGGGAGGACAGGTTGGCCCGAGGAGCAGGTTGTCCAGCTGGGGGTGGAGGGAAGGGCCCAAGGGGCTAAAAACAGCCCTGTGCCAGGGTAGGAGGGGCAGAAGTGCATCCCCAAGGCTGGGGCCAGCAGCTGGGCTTTCCCAGCCAGACGGTTGCACTCCAAACATGTACATTCATTCTTTTAGATTGGTCTGCCTGTACTTAATCTAACTTAGCGTACCTCTGAAATACAGCTAAATTAGATCAAGCTGGCCATTTTTTGACCCACCTAACCTTCCTGCATCTTCTACACCATTCACAGTTAGATTGACTGAACTACAGATTTAAGTGTTAGGTCCACATATGAGTGAACTAAGTTAGATCAGGTGGCCATTTTCAATGCAATCTAACCTCCCCCTAATCTCCCTGAATGTCTGTTCATACCCAGAGTGAGTTAGTGGCAGAGCTAAGAATAGAAACCAGGAATCCTAATTCCCATTCTTTAGGAGTTACCAGTAATTTACATTTTCTATATCTGAGCTACAGCACTTATTATATGGATCTGAGCTACACAGCTCCTTCACAAGCTGCAAACTACATGGTAAAACAGAATAGATTTCACAAAAAAGACATAGAATTAGCAAGGTCATTTCAACATTCACATTCATAATATTGTGCCTTATTTCTTTGTATTTAAAAACCCCATAAAGGCAATATAGAAAACTCTGCAAAAAAAAACTTTTGGAAAGAATGTTACTCATGCACAAGCATAGCACCATCTGCATTTCTTTGTGGTCGGGGGGGAGAGGGGGTTCCCTACCCTATTATGCTGTTCTGGGGCATTTGAGGAAAATGAGATGCATCTTCTTATGAGTTAATTTTTCTACTACTACTTTCTTTCTGCTACTTCTCTCCCGCTTTCTGCGGAGCAAGACCTTATATTGGTGAACAGCCTTGTGTGTCCTAGTGATGCCCAGAACTATGTCACCTGAATGTCACATTCCTGGCAGGGTTGGACCTAACAGGAGATTCCAGACAAACCACGGTCCAACCCCAAGTACTCAATGACATGTCAGGATCTCAACAGCTATAAAGACAGAAGAAGGATAAAGCAAGTTGCAGGTCTCCTGTCATCTAAGGTTCTCCCTTGCACTGGGTTCAAATCTCCACCATGTCAAGATCATGTGGTTGCTGTTTCCATGCACCAGCTTCCTCTCATTAAACCAGGTCTGACACAGGCTTCTTTCACAGGAAACAACATGCTGTCCTGTACCAAACTCTAAAAGCCCTGTGGCAATGGACAAATGGTGATGAAGATAGGATTAGTAAATCCAGCAGTCTCCAGCCATGAATCTGCATGCAGGTGGTAGTAGCCCAATGGTTGTCTTGCACACGGGCTGAGAAGGGTGCAATTTGGCAGATACTACCATGACTTAGCTGTCCTATGCAGAATCTTTTATGCTCTCCCCACATGGGAAAGGGTCTAGAAAAGCTGCCCTAAACCTAGGCTGTCTTACCTGCTACTGGCTGGATAACTGTATCAAGTGGAATCATGCTCTCTGTACTCAAAAACATCATCATAAAACAACAGTTTTCACAATGTTTGCACCTTTATGGATAATTAAGAAAATGAATGATCATAAAGAAGAACTACCATTGTCTACAGGGAACTAGTGAGATACAGCATCAATACTGCAGATCTGAGTGAGACAAGGTGATGGGATGAGGGTCAGCTGAGGGAAGATGGTGGAGGCTACATGTTGTTCTTGTAGGAGAAACTGAACCAGGACAGACATATTCACAGTGTCAGCTTTACCATCATGAATTGGCCCATCAGTCAACTTACCAAGCTCCCTATGGGTATTAACAAACATCTTTTGATCCTCTGTCTTAAGATCAGAAACAACCAGTATGTCACTGTTATCAGTATGTATACCCCAACACTTGATGCTGTTGATGTCAAAGAACAGTTCAATTCCAAGTTGACCATGTTCTGACTAACATCTGCAAGGAGGACAAGATTATCTCCTTGGTATTTTCAATGCCAGAACTGGACATCACCTGGAACTCTGGAGTGGCACCATTGGGAAGGAAGGAGTAGGGAAAGCCAAATCCAATGGCAACCTTGCCCTGAGCAAATGTGTGGAGCATCATCTTGTCATCACAAACACCGTTTTCAGACAGAGAGACAAATATAGACATCTGGAGACACCTTCACTCTAAGCACTGGCACTGCCTTGACTATGTTATTGTTAAAGCCCATAGTCAAATGGACGTTTGTATCATGTGAGCCATGTGAGGAAGCATGAGTGAGGAACCACTGGTGCCTCCTGAACTTGGGGAGGGGGCACCCACAGAAGCCGCCAATGGTGGCAGCCTTGTCGGGGGGGCACCAGCCTTACCAACAGCATCAGTGTCAGCCATTGGGGGGGCACTGGCCCAATCAGGGGAGGCATGTGCACCCCATACCAGTCACCTATTTGAGGATCCAATGACTGCTGGACAGATAAAAGTCTTGTCTTATCCATTATGAACATTCATTTCAGAGCATTAATGCTCTGAAACACTGAAAAAAGCTAAAAGCAATGTGAAGAGCACTCAATACCAAATCTCTCCAAGATCTTGAGGTCTGTAACGATGTCCAATAGTGTCCCCATGGAAAGTTGTCTTCTCTGTCTCCAAACAAAGGCAACACTAAGGAACACTGAGGGGTTTAAAACTGCTATCCATATGGCTGATACTGAATCCATTGGCTATACCACACATTGACACCAAAACTGGCAATGAGCATGATACTGAGATCCTTGACCAGGAGTAAAGGGCTCATTCTGTTTGGCAAGATGACACCATTTCAGCAGAAGAAGACTCATCAGCTCCTCAAAGTTAAAACTCAAAGGAGGATCCAGGAAATCAAAAATCAGTGGCCGCAAGATAAAGCCAAGGAGATCTAGCTCTTTGCTGACAAACAAGGTGCACATAGCTTTTTCTGGCAACAAAAGCAATCTATGGCCTAACTTCCCACAGTCCTATGTCTCTGCAATTGCAGGATGGCTCAACACCCCTCAAGGACAATGGATCTGTCTAAGCAAGATGGAAAGACCACTTTAAGGCACTCTTGAACTGTCACTCTACTGTGGCAGATACCACCATCAAATCTATCCCCCAACACTCTGAAAGGGGACCCCCTCACCAACCCTCCTATCCTAGAAGAAGTGTCATGTGCCATCAAGGAAACCAAGAACAACAAGACTACTGGACTGAATGGCATACCTGCTGAAATCTACAAGGTTGGCAGCAAGGAACTGGTACTGAGACTCCATAAATTTATTCTGTGAATTTGGAACACTGAAGAAATCCCTGGATACCTAAGGAATGCCAACATCATGACTATCTCCTAGAAAGGAGATAGGTCTGTGTGTGGGAACTATGGAGGTATTTCCCTCTTTTCCACAACAGGGTAAATCATCTCGCATATTCTTCTGAACTGTCTTCTACCTCTTGGCGAGGTAGTCCTGCCAGAATATCAGTATGGTTTTAGATCAACCCATGGAGCAATTGACATGATCTTTGTTGCCCATCAGATCCAAGAAAAGTGTTGGGAACAACATCAGAACCTGTACATGGCTTTTATTGACCCTTACTAAGGCTTTTGATTCCATCAATCGCATAGCCCTGTAAAAAGTACTGACCATATTTGGATGTCCTGAAAAGTACATCAAGGTCCTGACATTTCTCTATGACCAGATGACGATGACCATTATTTGTAGCAGATTGGAGACAGATCCCTTTGTCATCCAAACTGGGGTCAAGCAATGACCCAACACTGTTCTTCATTTATTTGACAGTCATCCTGGTTCTCATAATGAGTACCTTCCTTCCAGAACTGACACTGAAAATCATACAGATGGAGGGCTATTCAATATGGGATGTTTTTGCTCAAAGACCAAAGTACTCAAAACAACCATTCTTGACCTTCAACTTATTGATGACTGCACTATTCTTGTGCATGCTGAGGAAAACCTTCAGGCTGCACCGGATCTCTTTGGAAAAGCTACCAAACTTCGGGCCTCCATCTCAATATTGAAAAAGCTGAAGTGCTTTATCATCCTGCCTCGGGTCATGGAAGTGACCCCCCAGCTCCAAATTACCATAGAGGAAAAGACCCTAGAGTTGGTTGAGCACTTCCCCAACCTTGGGGGCCTCCTCTCTCAAAGAGTGAACATTGATGAGGAGTTTGAGCACAGTGTGCAAGTGCCTCCTTTGGGGAAGTGCTTCAGAAAGACACCAAGATCCACGTCTATAATGCTGCCATCATCCCTACTCTCCTCTATGGATGTGAAATGTAGGTGATCTGTCATCATCATCTCTAGAGCCTGGAGATGCATCACCATCAATGCCTCAAGAAAATCCACATCAAATGGGAAGATCACCACACAAATACCAGCATCCTTGCTGTAGTCAATGTTAGCAGCACTGAGCCAGTGATCGTGAAGCACCAATTTCACTGGACTACACATTGTATGTGAATGCCTGACACTCAACTCCCCAAACAAATGTTCTACTCCCAGCTTAGCAGCAGCCTAAGGTCTCATGACATGCCAGCGTGCAGGAGGCATGTGGCATTGTGCCACTCCTGGGGCACCAGCAGCAGGATGCAGAGCCCAGTCCACAGTGGCAGCCACCTCCACCCCACACACAGATCTGGGGGGCACATGCCCCCTGTGCCTGCTCTGGGGATGAACACAGAGGCAGGAACCCCCCACGTACCCCAGAGGGGCTGCCTGGGCTCCAAGCATCCCATGACCCACCACAGCACCCTATACACTCCCCACTGCGGGGTCCTTGATTTGCCCCTTCCCCCACCTTCCCACTCCTTCCCATCCACACATTTACCTGCTGGGTGCTGCTCCACACACAGGCAGGCAGGGCTGAGTTCCTGGCTGCCTGCAGGCTCTGGCTGCTCATCTCTGTCTCTGCGCGCCCCTTCCCCCTGCTGCAGCAGCCCAGAGCCTGAGCCTGGGCTGCCTGCATTTGAGGGGGCTAAGTCCTGTTAGCGCTGGCCTTCCGCTGCCTATGGTGCTACTTAGTATGCATTGGAGCAGATTCAATTAATCAAGACTGCAACAAGTCTGCTGGAGTATGCTAATTAGCACACTCCAGCAGCCTCCGTGCCATATGTAATCAGTGTCCCCACATTTCAAAATGGCGGAGGGGTGGGATTTAACTAAAGCTCATCAAATGAGCTTCAGTTAGAGCACCCCCACTACCATTTTGAAGCACAGGATGCTGAATACACATGACACTCCAGGCTCTTTAATTAGAGTGGCTCTCAGAGCCACTTTAATTAAGGCACCCTAAAGCACCACCCCCCTCATCCTGGACCATGTGTTTAGATTACCTTTAAGTAAAAAGAATGTGGGAAAATTATGCACAAAAAATGTTGTACGAACAGCATAGCTTTATTCAGTGCTGCTGTAACTCAGAAAAGTAACTGAAAACTGCATTGCAGGAGGTCCCATACCTAATCTCTCCCAGTGACTATCAGATCAGGTATCCCGTTAACAAGTGTAAGAAACTGAAAACTGTCAGAAAAACTGAAAACTGGTTTCTGGTACTCAATCTGCCACTGAATAGCTGTATACCCTTGTGGAAGGTTTTTTTTAATGCCTTGGATTTCCCATTAATAAAAACTGATGAGGTGACAGGGATTGTGAGTTCTCATACAACCTATAAACTACTTTATATCAGGGAAATAATAATAATTATTATTACACATTTAAATAAATGTCACCTATATTATTTTAATTTGTAACCCAGAGTTTTCCAGAGATGCCAACTAGTGATTGATTATACAACATCTAGCATATACATAATAAAGCCTGTTCCTGCCACAAATACTTCAATATCACTTAAAGACAACACATGCATAACAAGTGAGTAAAACCAATTATGTCCTGTGGAGGGATTAAGAAAGAGAATTACGGTTGATTCAGAGTAATCAGTATTTTCATTAGTTACTATGAACTGAATACTGGACATACAAGCTTTCTCTTCTACTTAAGATTAAACAGCTGTGTGCTATCTCAGCAAAAATTAGCCTTTTAATGATGCCTACTCTAAAATAAAATAATTACTACATAGCTCAAGCTACATCAGCCCTGCTGATGTAGGGCTTAAGTTGGCTCCCCTCAGTGCTATTTTACTACCAACTTCAGTGGGAGCTGAACTGGGCCCCTACTTCTGAAATACACATATACAAATTCAAGTTCCACCAAGATGCATCCTTAGCATTAAAAAGGTATTGCAGGTAGAAATATGATAGTTATTAAAACCCAACACAAAAATACTTTTCCTCCCACACTGTATTTCTTGGGCATTGGTCTTAATTCAACCTTAATTTAAGTTAAAAGTAAAGAAGTGACCATGCAATGAGATGATCTGATTTAGGGACTATGTCATTGTCTTCAGGAAATCCCTGGACATGTTGAAGACAAACTGAGCTGAGCCTGAGCAGAGCATTTACACAGACTAGTAACTGTGTGGGCTGCTTTCTAATATAATTTAAGTGTTCACTGAAGACTAAAACAAAAGAAAGTAGAATCAGAAAGGAGGGGGTGAAGTGTTATCGTTATAGCGTTATTTCATTTTTCTGTTGCTGCAACAAGCATGTAAAACAGCAGTGAGCCCACACAGAAGGTAACAGTCTCTGTAGATGCTGCTTACTGTTATTCTAGCTCAACTGACAGAGGTCTTAGCTATTTTTCTCAAAGTCAAACACAGAAATCTAAGTGATAATGAGTGGAAAAAAGATTAGTTTCCTTTCTTGATGTTTCCACTTTCATATACACCCAGAAACTTAGCAACTTCTTTATAACAAAAGACCTGTGGAAGTAATGCATTGTCATGTAGTATTTCTTATGATTGGCAACTATGGCAACTATGATTTCAAGCATTGCTACTGCCTCAACACATCTACACAATGAAGGGCCAGATTCAACTTACCGGGCATAGAAAATGGACTTAGCTAACTAAATGTGATTCTATTCTACCCCACTGAAGTCCTGAAAACTTATTAATGCATCCACTTTTATAAATCACTCATCTTACCCTTAAAATGAAGTCACAAAAAAGACACAAGGAAGAGGAAGACCCACCCACTTTTTTTTTGTATTAACTGTTTTTCAGTGACTTAAGCGTGCGAATAGAATCATACTTAAGTGTCAATGTTCACCTGGATGTGTTACAGATGGAATAGAATCTGACTCCAAGTTTTCATATTCAAGATTTGTGTTAAACTTTCCTACAAATCCATGTTTGTGTTTTACTGAATAAAATGAGTAGGATGGGTAAACAGAAATTCCTAAAATGTTATGTTTTTGAAGTGCTGGGGAAGAAACAGGGTAAATACACTGTCTCAGTGTTGTCATATTTAGAAATCTCTTCATAGGTCCATCTTAGTGCTTTGTTCTTCTCCATTCCCCTCCTTTCCCCCTTCTTATGTTCATCTAGTATATATCTTCTCTGCTTTTCTGTAATCACAAGAGCCTTCTCTTTTCATCCCCTATTCACTTGAACCACATTCTTGTACTTGGCTGTCTCAGACTGTATTTTCTCCAGCCTTTTTTATACAATAATATTGCCTGTCCCTACTGTGCTCTCCCTCTCATATTAAGTCAGTAGCTCTACTTCCAACGTGGAGGTATTTTGAAGATATAAGGGCATATTTTTAAAGGAGCATCCTAAACCAGACACCGTGCCACTCACAATTGTGGGGCAAACAATTTCAAGGGCCAAATGATGTAATCTAACACATTAATTACATCTGTAAAACAGGTATTATCCATTGTTGTTATTTGCAATTCAGCTGAACATGGATACCTGGCTGGGATTGAGGCCCTTTAAAAATTTGGTCCACAGCCTTTTTGTATGAAACACTAAATAAAATATTATTGTTCTATTAATTTTCTTGCTTTGCTTCTGTAAAGGACAAAGCTGAGGTCAGTCTTCCTTTCTTCCTCCTCTTCCACCTCCTCCTCCAGTGTAGTACCTGAAATTTTAGTTGCAATCCGGGTTGTGATGGGAGGTCCGAAGCCCTTCACTGTGCTGGCTTTGATGGTGAACGAATAGGTAGTCCCTGGATATAACCCTACAAAGAGGTGGTGAGTTTCATTCCTTAGTTTGAAGACCTTTCCCCTCTGGCTGGACAGGTCAGCAGTGGGATCCAGAGACCCAACAGCCTTGTATGTAATCTGAAAATGAAGAACAGGGAGAGTCAGGGTGCTAATATCAAATGAATTTCAGGAAATTCATCCCTCTTCTGCTCCCTACTGAGCTGTTTCTTTAATCTAGGGACGGAGGAAAAAGAATGGATGTGGCCTCACTTTCATTCATGAATGGGGTTTATATTTAGATGCTGGCAAATGTGACAATTTTTTCAAGCTTTTCCAACCACATATCTTCTCTTCCATTACCAACAAATTAAGGCTGCAGTATAAACTGATTTTGAGAAGTGGATGAAAGAAACATATGGTTTTTTCCCCCTGTTCTTTCCGCAATCACAGAATTTTGTCAGGCAAATTAAAATTGACAGCAAAATGTGCAAATTTTTCAAGAACGTTTATGATATAATTCCCTATCCTCTTCCATTCCATTATATTATGGAGGATTCATGAGGTAAAGAAGGACACGTTTCTAATGGAGTCCTTCTTCTCCTGGCTAAAGCTTTGAACAAAACCCCACTGAAGTCAACGGGAGTCTTTCTGTTGGCTCCAATGGTCTTTGGATTATACCCTAAAACAGTGGAAAATCTTGGGTAAGGAGGAGTATTTTGTAAAACATGAAACTACTACTATGAAGTCATTAAACAAATGCCCTTCTCTTCCTTCCTACAACTTTGAGACTGATTTTTTATTTTTCCTGTGCTTGTCCTTGGTTTCCAGGACTTGCGGATGGTGCTTTCCCTAATTTCCACCTCAGAGAGCTGGCAGCAGGGTACAGATACAGAGAGATATTCATGAGTATATATATTGCCAGTACTAACACGCTTTTAAAGAAAGAAAAGCCGAAAGCACACCTTTGAAATTCTGCCTGAATTCCATTATGCTTACCAATGGCAACTCTGTTGATATACAGACACTTGGAGGTAAAACTCATGACTTATTTACCAGCCAATCCCTTCCTTATGTTCTAAATTCAATCCAAAGGCTGCTCAATTTCAACTGAGCTGTCAATATAATATACCGAGTTCTCCTGTATCCCTCACCTTTCCTGATATTACAGGATCCTCACTTATTTGTAATGAAACACTATGAATAAATCAATGTATGTTAATATAGCAAGTCTTCAATTTTTTATGAAGAGCTTTGCAGGAATCCAATTCCTAGTCTTGCCAGAAAGAGTCTTTGAAAATTTTAAGTCACTTGTTTTATGACAGGAGGAGAATGTTACATTTGGAAGAAAAAATAAATATATAATGAAAAAAGGAGAATATAATAACAGCCCAGGAAAGCCACAGAGGTCGGGTCCTACTGATACTCCAAAGACGATGTTTGAACACAGCTATTTGGACAGAAGTAGAGCATATTAAACATATGGCAGATACACAAAACTAGGCAGGATTACAAAGAAGAAGTGAATTCCACCATGGTTCATAATAATACAGATTAGCAAAATCAAAGTTATTCTAGTTAACCAGCATCTCAACGTTTATGTCGAAAGCCCACTACTTTTAATGGAATGATGACTTTGTTTTTAAATGCCATTTACCAAAAAACCCAAACAAAAAAAAAAGGCTACACAGACTCAGGTCTCGGCACAAAGTTCTTAAAAAAAAAAAACTATAGAGATGCTGGCAATACAATTCTTAATACACCGTGAGTGGGTTGAGGGGAATATGATTACAATTGCCTTAGCAGCAATACATTTTAAGGTCAGGAAAGGAAGAGGCATTTGGTTAAAAAATATCCTTACATTTTGCCATGGATGTGACAGATTAAAAAAAAATAGTACTCATTCAGTTTTCAGTTGTGAGTGGCAAGTGTGAGCATAATTCACTGTGCCTTGGTGTTCTGTTTGCACTATGAAAATGAAGAAATAGCATTTTTACAACCGCCTTTGGAAGATTAGACAGATTAGAAATTTGTGAATAACATAAAGAACTTTCCAACTCTACCTCAGTGAAAATCATGCCACTATGACTATTCAGATGAAAATGCAAGTTCAGCAACTGGTTCCAGTACAAGTCTTAGTAGATTAAACAAGTGGAGCAACTCAGTTCACACAAACTATCACGGTCTCACCAGGAGGCAGTGCCATTAGCTGAATTTACAAAGATGTACATAGAAGCATACACATGCTTACAGCGCAGCTACCTTTGAACTGTGGATAAATAAAGGTGCCAGTCAAACCAGCAACTTCCACCAGCACTAAATTAGCTTTAAAACTGTTTTACCTTATCAACACAAAGAAGTCAGCAGATCATTAAGATGACTGAAACTCTGGCAATATTTTCAAGAACAAAAAAAAAGTCATGGAGACTTACAAATCAGCTGCTGCTTGTCAAAGTCTACATGCAAGATTTGAACAATATATTATAACGTTTGTATTCTAGCTGAGATTAATCCAAATTTCAGTAGCCTTAGTAAGGAGTGGTAAGGAGTGATGGTGTGTTTCAGATTCTTGACCTATAGCTGGGCAAGTTAAAGTCACAAGCCCTTACAAAAAAATGTAAATTCAAATCAGGAGTTGGTATTTCCCAAAGATTTCAGAGAAGTAATCCCTAGAAATGAAAGTTTTGATACAGGGATCTCCCAAAAGAAAGTGGGTAAGACAGCTTATTGTTGGTAGTATAGTAGCCTTTAAGGCTGCATCCAGACAAGCAGACACATGTGATATGTGACACTGCAGACCCACCTGTGGCATCACACACTGCACCTGAAGGTGTTCCCCACACTGCTACTTTGCAATGCAGGAGGGAAGGGGTGAGATTGACCCTGGGAGATCCCTGGGTCAAAGAAACCCACACCAAAAAAAAGTAGGATGGCGCACATGGTGGCAGGGCACACCATCCAGAACTGGAGACTGGCCAGCCAGGCTCCCAGCTGCAGGAGTACCAAAGCTGCAGCTCTTGAAGGCCCCCAGGACCCCAGGTAAGGCTGCTGGGGCCAGCAGTTGCTGGCTCCAGCCTTCGCTATCCCACTTGGGGTAACCTACCAGGTACCAAAGGATGCGTGGCATGGGCATTCCCTGGGGACAAGCAGCAGCAGCACAAGGTGTCCCTAGGGAAACAAATGGCCATGCTCATGTGGACATGGCCTGTCTGTCCCGAATAAGTAAGACTTTCATAGAAAGATAAGACTGGACGGGACCTCTCAGCACATCAAATCCAGTCCCTTGTGCCTCTTGTAATCTTGTCCAAAAGGGTCCACAAGAACATCCAGTTTGGCTCCTCACATGCCACAAATCACGTGATGAAAACAGAATCTACCTTGTGCCATAAGAAGAGAGCAGGAGAGACAAGGGTGTCATGCAGAGGCAATTTGTGAAGTAAATTATTCTCAGGTATTTCTAAATGGACCATATCCCATGCCAGAGGAAGGTAAAACACAACAGTGGACCTTTGGGGAAAATTTCTTCCTGAGACCAGAAGTGGCTATGAGTGTGAGCCAGAGCATGTGAGAAAGACCCACCACCCAAGAATCTGAGGAGCTTCTCAATAAAATGTCAAGTTCCAGAGCACTGAAGCCAATATCTCACTTCTAATTGCAGTGATTTCTAATACTTCCATTGCTTATTGACAAAGCAACGCCCCCCAAACACCTCATCTTGAAGTAATACATTCAAAGGGGAGAATGTTTTCTTTTTGATTGCAGCAAGTGCCCAGTAAAGCACTGTCCAGGACTGTCAAAAGCTTTGTATATTTAAATAACCAATATGGACGCCAAGTTCTCTTTCAGCACCCATTACCCCATTCACCCCTGCGAGGGATATAAATTTAAAGCTATACAACATGTGCTCTGATGACTTTCTCCACTAACTCCTTCATCCTATTATCTTACGTATTAATAGGGTGACCTTATGCCCTGGACCGTCCCAGATTTTGGAGGCTGTCTCAGTGTCCCAGCCATTGGAGAAAATTGAAGCAAAAGGCCTGAATTGGCAGAAACCCGCCCACACATGTGGCTCTTGAGTCAGGGGTCAGGCACGTGCAGGCTGGTTCATGCCAATCAGGGTCTTTTGCTTCAATCTTCTCCAGGGAGCCCAGCCAATGGGCTGCTCCCTGGTTTGGAGTTCACTGGACTGTGAGCAGAGTTACTTGAACAGTAGAGTTGGGGAAGAGGTTTATGCAGGGAGCTGGGGGATCAGGGCTCTGTGTGTGTGTCTATGCATGTGTTCACGTGTATATGTACTGGCATCCCCAGGCACCATAACCCACATTCCAGATTTTCTTACGCCGTCATGTATTTCCCTCAAATATTATGGCCACCCTATTTATTGGACTTCATCTTCAAAGAATTCAGGCTCTTTGCTTCTACTGCTTTGTACAGAAAATCATTTCAGAACTTCACACTAATAGTAAGCAACTTTCTTCTAATTTCCAGTCTAAACTGTGACCAGTTTATACCAATTTGACTATATACCAATATACCTCTACTTACCAGCATAGAGTCTGGGTCCAGCTCCCTGCTGCAGCAGGTGGGGACTGCCTGAATCACTGAAGCTCTCTGAATCGATTCATAGAGCTTCAAAATTGGTTTGGATCTCTTAATTGGTCCCCTGATTTGATTTGGATTTGGAGATTTGGCCACTGAATCAGGCTGAATCTCCTCCAAATCGAATCAACACCTGAAGCTTCACATAGTCTTAGTGCACAGGAGTGGCAGCAGATGCAGCTGACAAGATACATAGCGGAGACCCAGGAACTGTAGTGGGGCTGATCCTGACATGCTGCAGAGGGACATATCCTGAAAGACTGCAGCTAGCAAGACACATGGCAGAGACCTAGGAGCTGCAGAAGGGTGATCTTGAGAGGCTGCAGCTGGTAAGGCCTGTGGCAGAGATCTGGGAGCTGTAGTAGCGCTGACTCAGTGAACCACAGTGGTGGGGCTCAAGTGTAGGGCCCAAGTGTGCTGCAGGGCTGATTCTGTGAGCCACAGCAGTGGGGCCCAGGCACAGCACCTGGGTGGTAACTGCGTGCACAGTGAGACTGAAGACTGATTTGAGGGCTGTTCAGAGTTCAGGGTGAGCTCAA